GAAATCAAGCACAGGGGCTCTAACGTACTTGGGGATAAGGGAGAGGGATGGCATCCAACTGAGAGGGTCACAGGGGGAAGGCATGGACATCCTTGGAGAGTAGCGAGGTTTTGTTTGAGTCCAGGAAGTAGAGTGAAGTTTAACAAGAATTGGGCATATATGGAGCTTAAGGAAGCACATGCGCTGAGCTTAGGGGGCATTGTGGAAGGGATTTTAGGGAGCAGAGGACTCAGCGTTATCTGGGGCGTGTATGAGAAATGTTGAGGTGAAAGGTGAGATAACGAGGGACTTCCTGTGCTGTTTGAGAATACAGGAAATGGGGCAGGTGGGGTTAAATCTTGATGCTCTCTTGGAGAAAATGGGGAGAAACTCCTAGCTCAGATATGGAAGCTTCAACTTTGATATTCTCTCCATTCCTGACATTTCTGGAAACTGGGCTACTTCATTGCCTCCCTACTCACTAGGGATATTGTCAGTGAATGGAAATAATATTGTGAAAGAGCATTTGCTTGTGGTTAATGTTAAACATATCTTTTCAAAAATATTTACATGGAAAGCACCATGAGGCCCTGCCAGGAATCTAAGCACAAATACAGAATTGTTACCTGTGCCCTTAAGTAGCTTCTGGTTTTGTAAAAGAGAAACTTACTCTGTTTAAAGAGGATACACTGGCCAAAGGGCATCATTCATATAATTTATGCCTCAAACCACACCAAACAAATAAATGCAAATAGTCCATGTTCTAAAGAAAAGATGCATGTACTGCTTTTAGCACAGGAAAATTGGTCTAAAATTGTTTTTGGAGAGGTTTTCGCTATAGGGCGCATGCGCTCGCCAGACAGACAGAGACAGAGAGACAGAAAGCAAGAAATCACCCCCCAGAGGGGATGGCCACGCCGTAATTCCTTCTCCTCCATTCTCCTCTCGGGATCTTGGGCACGCACGCACACGCGCCCGGCGTGAGTTTTAAGCCACTGGGTCTGGGATGCAAACCGCGGTCGACTACGTGGGAGCCCAGAGACATAGCCATTACGCTAACTGCTGGTCCCCATCAATTTTTGTTTTGAAGATGATGAAACTGTGACTTTATAAAGTTATTTCCCACCAACGTTTTCTCCTGCTTGAACTATTAAAAGAAAAAGTGTGTAAATCAAATGCAAAAAAAAAAAAAATTAAATACGTGCCCTGGTCTGGTTAGAGTGTGAAGTAAATCAAGTGACAATTTAATTCCCAATGAACATGTGACAACTAGGGAGTTAAATATTAGATTTAAATAGGGCAGCTAATTCTCTGCAAGAATTACGTTTGTGTCTTTATATGGGCACTCTATTTAATGATCACATTTCTCTCCTCTCAAATTCAGGTGTTGCTATAGGAGCATGAGAAATTAATGTATGTTCTTATACTCATTAATACTATTGCTCATAAAAAGACCTTTTGATTTTTATCTCTCTTGGTTCCTAGGGGCATTCACAATGCCAAATCACATGAATTATCAGAGGAAAAAAACTCCATTAAAGCAAAACTTTAATCACTACTAACATTTTGTATAAAGTTGTGTCTAAAAGGAAACTGATTAGGTATTCATCAACATATATTAAATAACTGGATGGCTCTATAATCCTTTCACAGAATATTATAAAGCAGTAAAAGGGAAAGACTATAATAAACGCAATGTAACTCAATCTCAAGGACATTGTTGAGTGAGATGCAAAGTATGGAAAGATACCTGTAATATGGTTTTATTTTCAGTAGGTTCAGAAACAGGCAAAGCTGAGCAATCTCTTTTTTAGAGATGCATCATTGGTAGCAGACTTATAAAGAAAATTAATAATTTAAAATGTAAGGTAATAGTAGTCCCTGGGAAGTGAGTAGGGAAGTGGGTGCAATCAAGAAAGAACATAGTGGTGTTTCTAAGGTGCTAATGATATTCCATTTCTTAAAATGGTTGGTGGTTCATAGGTTTTATTATTATTATTATTACTTAAACTATATATATACTTTGCATTTTTTTTGAGAAGATTTTGCTATGGGGCGCGTGTGCTCTCCAGAAAGACAGAGAGAGATAGAAAGCAAGAAATCACCCCCCAGGGGGGATGGCCATGCCACAATCCCTTCTCTGCCATTCTCCTCTCGGGATTTTAGGCATGCACACGCATACATGCCCAGCGTGAGTTTAAGCCACCAGGTCCAGGACTCGAACCATGGTCGACTACATTAAAGTCCAGTGACATAGCCATTATGCTAACTGCTGGTCCCTACTTTGCAATTTTTTAACTGCCAGAGAGTGAGCATGCTCATGAGAGAGAGAGGGAGAAAATAGCCCCCATTGGGGCATGATCATAGCATAATCCCTCCTCCTCCCATTTTCCATCGTATTGGGATTTGGGGCACACATTCACATAAGCCTGATGTGTTTTTCAAGCTCCTGGAGCTTGGATTCTCACTGTAACTAGGCTATAGGACTGGCCCAAGACACTGGGCTATGGGATTGGCCTGGGATATGCTTTATATTTTCTTTTATTTTCATAATACAATTCATAACCAAGAAAGAAATAACTATTACAAAAAAGGTTATCAATTACACCATAGTACTAAATCTCTACCTTATGCTTATCACCTAAGACATTGCACAGTGTATCAGGAGATATATAAGGCTTGCACATAGACTCAGGAGCTTACACAGATGTGGGATGATTAGAGAACAACTCAGAATACAAGTAAGCACACACTGTGATATAATAGGAGTTCAGAAAAAGGAATCTTTGGTGCTTAAAGTGGATGGAAAGTTCTACAAGGAAGTAGTAATCAGAATCCAGCTTGGAAAGTTGAATTTAATAGGAAACTGGGAGATTATTTTTACTTTTTGCTGTTTCTCATATACATTAAGTATCTTGTTTAACATCCTTTATAATTGATAAGTCTTTCTGGCCTGGAAGAAAGAGCACAGACTTTGAATTCAGACAAACATAGATTCAGAACCAAATTCCTCCATTCCCAGGTTGTGAAGCCTTAAAGTTTCTACGGACAGATTTCCTATTTATAAAATCCAGAGAGGGATGCTTCACAAGGCTCTGAGAATGAGATAAGAGAACACTTTGGCCTTATATTCCAAGACTGAGAGATGGTCATAATCTTTTTAATGCTACCATTCATGGACCTGAGAAGAATGATGACCAAGGCCAGTGGAATGTCTCTGCTAAGGGATCTAACATGTAAGGTGCTGGATAAAGAAACTTGTGCCTCTTTAGTTCTACCCTTTACAGAGTCTCCTTTTGGGCCTCTCTTCCACAAAACACAGATATCTCTGCCCTGCATTTTGCCTGTCTCTGGTCTCCACCCTGTAGTCAATGGACTTCTACAAGCCCTTGACTGTTTCCCTGTCTTGCTCCCTAAAAGTGAGTACAGATAAGTGACTTGGACCAACACTGCTCTAGATTGTAGAGAGAAATACTCTCTCCTCACCAGATTCATATATTCTTGTGTCTTCTTGGCTTTAAAGAGCCAAGTTTGGGACATGATTCTAGTAAGGGGCTAAGAAAGCCATTCCTTAACACAGACAGTAAGTAGACTTTTCTGGTTTAAACAGAAGGAGTTGCTGAGGTTCAGTCATGGTCTAGACCACCTCACTAGAATACTGAAACTGGGTTGAGGCAAGAGTCTTCATTAGCATCACATAGATACTGCATTTTCCCCTTGGTGTCCCCTGAGCATATATTTCTGAGGAGTCTGAGATGGCTTAACAAAGAATTAGGGATTCCTTCCTATCTCTCTGTCTTTTCCCATTAGACATATGTCTAACAACTATATGCAAAGCATCTGGCTTACAAGAATCCTGCCAGTAATGTGAATTCCTTTCTCATCTCTCTTTCTTAACGTTTATTTTGTGTTTTAGGTTATATTTTGGAACCAATATCTTGGTTTCTGTTTTAGTTCTCTCTCTCTCTGTCTCTCTCTCTCTTTTGTTTTTTTAATTTTATTTTTTTAGAGATTTTTGGCATAGGGTGTATGCACTCAGCAGAGCGAGACAGAGAGATAGAAAGCAAGAAATCACCCCCCATGGGTGATGGCCACACCATAATCCTTTCTCTTGCATTATCCTCTTGGGATTTGGAGTGTGCACACATGTTTCCGGGGTGATTTTCAAGCTGCCAGGTCTGAGCCTCAAACTATGGTTGACTATGTGGGAAACTTGCACCTTAACTTCTATGCCACCTCCTGGTCTTGGGCATTTGTATATCCCACTGCTTCTCCTTAAGCAGATGATCCACTGAATAAGCTGAGCAATCCTTGTTCCACCACCCTCCCTATGCCTTTGTTGTTACCTTTTTTTAAAAGAGCTCTCCTTTCCTTCCACCTAGATAGATAAACATGTTTTTTACCTCTCAGCCTGGACCTTTTCTTTTTTTCTTTTCTTTTCTCTTTTTTTCTTTTTTCTTTTCTTTTCTCTTTTTTTCTTTTTTCTTTTCTTTTCTTTTCTTTTCTTTTCTTTTCTTTTCTTTTCTTTTCTTCCTTTGGTATAGGGCATATGCATTTGCCAGAGACAGAGAGAGAGAGGAAGAGAGAGAGAGGGAGAGAGGGAAAGCGAGAAATCCACCCTGGGGAGATGGCTATGCCACATCCCCTTCTCATCAGTCTCCTCCTGGGATCTTGGACACACACACCCATGTGCCTGGCATGATTTTCAAGGCACTGGGCCTGAGACTCAAACCATGGCTGGCCATGTGGGAGTCCAGTGATGTAACTACTATGCCTCCTGCTGACCCCCCTACTTTAGTTTTATTGAAACTAATCATTGAGTTTTGGAGAATAAGCTGAGGAAACCTCCTCCCAGCCATTTGCGGTTGACTGTGAAGATGGACAACGGGCTTCTTCTTTGATTTCCTGTGTGCAGAGACTCTTAGGCCTGCAAGCTCAGAGTGTAGGCCATTGACTGCCCACCCTCTGCCTTCACCTCCACATGCTTCAATTCCAATTTCCATTCTGTCTTTGTTTTACAGTTGTTCAGCACATCAAGCGACATAACATTGTTCTGAAAAGGGAGCTAGGAGAAGGAGCCTTTGGAAAAGTTTTCCTAGCTGAATGCTATAACCTCTGTCCTGAGCAGGACAAGATCTTGGTGGCAGTGAAGGTAAGAGAACATTCCAGAATGTCTCATTATCCATGGTCACACAAATGTGTGGAAGTTGTACTTTATTTTATTATAGTGGCCAATTTAGAAGTAAATTATGTTTCCTATGGTGGTTGTATTAAAAGTCCTATAACTAAGTAGACAGTTGGAAAGTCTAAGCAGGCAGTTGGAAAGACATTTTGGGCACATCCAACAGTCAGAGATTTTTCTCAAAGGCAACAGACCAATCTGTAGGCTGTGAATAGTTTTTAGTGCCTCTTCCAAGTCCAAGTTAACTACATTCTGGATGGAGGTCAGTGAGATCAAACAATTCAACCAGCTAAATCTTGGAGATTCAACATTTCTACTCAAATTTCTTGGTGCTTATCCAAGCTTAACTAAAGTTTGTACCATCTTTGAGATTCTGGAAGGGAGAATTATGGACATTTCCCATCTCAGCCTCTGTTCCATTGAGTTCTCTCACTTCCCCCTCTGGAATAGTTCCAAGGTCCCAGAGTTGCACATAGCACAGACATGATTTCTTCAAGGAGGGTATTGAATCTCCTGTGGATTCCAGCACGCTAAGACACATGGGGTTCCTATTAAAATAAAGATGTCTGAGGAGGCTAGCAGGTGGTATTGTGGTTAAGGTACTGTACTCACACATGGCCAACCACAGTTCAAGTTCCAGGCTTAGCAGCTTGAAAACCACCCAGATGCATGTGCATGCATGCCCAAACTCACAGGAGAATGGAGAAGGAATTGCAGCATGGCCATCCCTGCTGGGGGGATGGCGATTAGTCACTTGCCCTTTCACTGTCTCTCTCTGTCTCTCTGGTGAGCACTCATGCCTTACAGTAAAAAAACCTAAAAACAAACAAACAAAAACTGAGAGTGCTTCATTATAGTCATGTCCCCATTAACTCAAAAAAGAGACCTCATTTTCAATAAGATAAATATTATTATTGAAAAGGATAACGTTTCCACTGAGTTCTCTTAAATATAAGCATTAACAAAAATAGTACAAAAGTCTTCAACAGATCTTTTACATATGCATTGTCAAGTTTTTATTTTAGTTACCAAGGTATTGGGTAATATATGTAAAAGACTTAAAAAGAGGCATATATATAAAAAAGGAATTGAGTGCCAAATGAATATGAACATGGTTAATGTAATAAAATTTAACTTCTTGGCATGATACGAGCGAGTTTTTGCTGTATTCTATTTCTGCCAAACACAGAACATTTGTGTGAATGTCATTTGTTTACTAGTTATAAGCAGAACCACTTTTAGCTTGTAAAAGTCAGGTGAATATTTCATTACTGTTACAGTTAGTATTAAAATATTTCAATATATACATAATGGGTAGCTGAAGAGAAATAAAATTATTCTGGAATTTATCAGTCCTGCCAACAAAATGATTTCTGTTCAAGTTCATTCAAATAGAAAAACTTTGTTTTCCTCATCATTGAAATAAACTAGCCAGGGTAGAACAATACTCTAAAATTCTAAGAGAAGCTGTACTTTAGAATAAAAAAGGGTAGGCTATTCCAGATGGTAAATGTAATATCAATCAAATAAACATCATCTCCTTAAGATAGACAAAGGAAAGGAAGAGGGGAGAGAAGGAAGATTCTAGAGAGATTTGAGGTCCAACAGGGTAGAAGGTGTCAAGGAAGAATGGTGCAGTGATTCTGGAAATGTGCAATTTCTACTGTCATTATTGCTTCTTTTCCTTCATTTACTCAGAGAGTTTATTTCTATTGTTTTCAGCACAAAATGTTCAGAACATTTGGCAATGTTATACCTGCAGTCTCCACTTTCACCTTAGTTTATCTTTTTCTCCTCTTTTTGGATAAATAGGACCAAAGGATGCCTCTATCGTTTTTACAAATTCAAAGCCTGATAAAATGTTAGTGCTGGAAGAATCTTAGAGAACATCTCATCGACTAAGCTAGCCATGTGTCATCGACCAGGAGACCTGGATTTGTGTTCTGGGTCCAGGTTTTGCACTGCTGTGTGGAGGCCACCCAGGAAGCTCAGTCGAACCTTCAGACTCTGAATTTACTTTTTGGTCTCACAGAGTAGAAGTCTCTGATGGGAGAAAATCCTGGAAGAGAAGAGAATTCTAGATGAGCATGTAGGGATAGTCATTATAGAGATAGGTCCAACACTGTGATCCAACTAGACCTCTTTCTGTTACAGCCTTTCACCTTGGTGCCATTCTTTACTATGTGACAACTCATCAGTCCTTGCAATGCTCCTTAAGAAGAGGGCATTGCATTGCTAAATCCGGGGAAACCCTCAGCCCACGTATTACATTTCTTTCTGAGCACATACTAAAACAGGACTCCAGATCTTGGGCTACTAAGAATGAAGGGTAGACCAGTGACAATAATGTTCAGCCACTGGCACATAGGTTGTGCTTAAAAGAGACCCTAGGCTATTCTCCTTTCCCATCCACAGTATTCTTTTGTTGGGCATAACTCCCATTGCCATTGTCAGTGACAGGGTTCTCTGATTTAAATCCCAATCACAGCCCTTACTTACCTCTGAAACAGACCCAGGACCTAGTCTTCACATCCCTCCCGGCTTTGCCAAATAAGTGTTTGCAAGTTAATGACCTACTATGACTGTTTGCTCTTGAATCAACCCTGCTGAAACATTTTTTTTAAAGGCTAAAAAGGGTTAACCCTTAATCGAGTCCTTATTTCTTCACTTTGTTAGTCCACTTCATATTGAAATTCTCATCACAAACAGAAAGGACAAAGTGCCTACAGATTAACTTTATGGTCACAACTCTATGAAGTCACATCTCAATGGCCTTGGATATGATTTTTTTAGTGGTTGCTTAAATCAGAGATTTTGCTTATGTTCCTGGAATTATTTCAAGCTTCGGAGAGAAAGCTCATGTCAACTCTCTGGAATTTACAGGCCGTAGCCACATAGGGACAAGTTAGATCTTCCATGAGGTCCAGGGTGGATTGGATCAGAATGACCTCCAGATCTTCCATACAGCTGCCTCTCACAGCCATGACATGCTCATTTTTGAGAATCTTGAAAGGGTACTCAGAGTCTCTCTAAATGAGCCTGCGAGAAAAATTGTTATTGTTCATCCCCGACCACCCTAAAGGGTTTATTTTATATTTTATTTTATTTCATTTTATTTTAAGGAATAAAGCAAAAAGAATGCTGCTTCTGAAGACTGCACAGACTCTTACCTCTGTGGAGAGGCTGCCGGGTTAACTTCCCTTATTGGAGGCACCCAAGGATGTTTGACAGCCTTTCTGTTGTTGCCTAGCAACCTTGCAGCATTGATTATGCATGCTAAGAAATAGCAGCTATTGTCCTTTTTCCTTCTCTTGAAGGAGCTGACTCTGATTTGAAATCTGAGGCTCTACATTCAGATTGACATATGTCAGAATCCTGTAAATTCTGGTGTCAATGCGCCCAAACAGTTTAAGGGCTTAAGGGATACCCACGGGAAACTGCTTAGGATGGACATTATCCTTAGGTATGTGCAGGGCTTTCAAGAGCACATAGGGGCATGCTTCTCCTGTTAGGGTATCCACTGTTTGGATCCAGCTGGATTGCCCTTTCCTTGATATTATTGGATGACCTTTGTTTTTAAGTGAAACAAATTTGTCAACCCTTTTTTTTTTTTTTCTTTTTTACACTGAATTACAGTTGAAGAACCCATGGAGCCGATGAGAAGCAGAGAAACCAGTCTTTGATCAAACTGAGTTACTTCACCTTTAAGTAACTCAATTGCCAAGGAAACGCTTCTCCCAGCTCCCCTGTGTTAACTGTGGCTGCATTAGCTATTTTTGGCTCTATCCAACCTGCATTTCCAAGCTACAATTGCTGCATTTCCTTGTACTATAAATGCATGATGATTTTTATTTTTTAAATATAGCCACAAGTGTGCTTCATAGGATTCATGGCTTCTCCTCCCCCTCCCCATGAACTCAGGTATATTTCTAGAAACAGAAAACACTGAATAGGAGAGAGAACTTGGATATATATTTGTATATCGTGCCTCATGTTTTATAGATGAGAAAACTGAGATAAGTCAAGGGACTTCCTCAAGCATAAATTAAACAAGTCAGAGGTGCTGCACAGGATGGAGACTTGACAGAATGAAAAGTGGTGAAATCTGAGTTTAGCAGACACTTTCTCTGGGATCTAACTTAGGATTTTGCTTTGTATGTTTCTGAATTTCTTCTTGCCAGCAGTGGAAATGTTTCCTCCACCAAAGAGTTTGGAAAAGTTAGCTGACACACCCTCTAGTACATTATCACAAAGCAAGTCCGAGGTAGCACCCAACATGTTGATTTCATTTCCATGTCTGGATGACCCTGGTCCAACCTCTCCATTCAGATAACTCCAGTCATCTGTCAACTCTCAGGGCAAGTTGCCTTCTTTTTTCTCTCTTTTTTAACCTGAAAAATGGTAAATCGTGGGAACCAGCAGTTAGCATAATGGCTATGTCGCTGGACTCCCACGTAGTCGACTGCGGTTCGTGTCCCAGACCCGGTGGCTTAAAACTCACGCCGGGCGCGTGTGCGTGCGTGCCCAAGATCCCGAGAGGAGAATGGAGGAGAAGGGATTGTGGCGTGACCATCCCCCCTGGGGGGTGATTTCTCGCTTTCTGTCTCTATGTCTCTCTCTGTCTGTCTGGCGAGCGCACGCGCCCTACAGTGAAAATCTCTCCAAAAAAAAAAAAAAGGTAAATCGTGAAAGAAATTTATTGAGGGTTAAAAGTAGTATGGGATAAATGGATATCTTTATATGAAATTGATACATAGTACTTTTAAAAATTTTTATACATTCAATCACTATACATTATTACAGCCTGCAAAGTCAATTTTCCCAGCATGAATACACTGTATATTAGTCCAGTTAAAGATATTAGCATACACATTATCATCAATAGGTAATTTTCCATTTTTATGTCCCTTTAATGTTTTACCTCTTTCTTTTTCCCCTTGATTACCTGCTTTTCACCCTTACCCATTTTT